GATGTGGGGAGGGAGATGTCCCTGGGAAGGTGATTTCCCCCTCCCTTTGACACTGCCATCCTGCCTGGCCTGGAGGAGCTTCAGCTGCACCAAGGCAGAGGGGCCTGAAATCACAACCAGGCTCTGAAGCACCTGAAAAACACCATGAACAAATTAATGAGTTCTTGATATCATTGTGGGAATCTGGAAACTCCTGAAAACATTCTTGGGGGTGAGAACTGGACAGGACCCAGAGACCCCGAGCCTGGGCTGCGCCCCCCAGAGCGGGGGCTCTGCCCCCGTGCTCAGGTGGGACCCCACCTGCAGAGCTGCTCCAGCCCTGGGCCCAGCACAGCAGGAGCTGGAGCTGCTGGAGAGAGCCCAGGGCAGGCACCAGGATGAGCAGAGGGATGGAGCAGCTCTGCTGGGAGGAAAGGCTGAGAGACCTGGCACTGTTCAGCCTGGAGAAGACTCTGGGGTGACCTCATTGTGGCCTTCCAGTGCCCGAAGGAAGGAGCAGAAAAGATGAAAGGAGACAATTTCCAAGGGCCTGGAGTGCTAGGACACAGGGAATGGCTTCCCACTGCAAGGGGCAGGGATGAATGGGATACTGGGAGGGAATTCTCCCTGTGAGGGTGGGGAGGGGCTGGGATGGATTTCCAGAGCAGCTGTGGCTGCCCCTGGGTCCCTGGCAGTGTCCAGGGCCAGGTTGGACAGGGTTTGGAGCAGCCTGGGACAGTGGGAGGTGTCCCTGCCCATGGCAGGGGTGGGACAGGATGAGCTTTAAGGTCCCTTCCCACTCAAACCCTCCCGTGGTTCTATGAAAAGCCAAGATCTTCACACAATTCCCTGGCTCCAAGTGCCCAAGGTTTCACAGCAGAACACTGGGGGCAATACACGGATAGCTGGGAAAATCCATTTTCACCCCATTCTGCCTCTGAAACTCAGAGCAAATGCACCAAGGAATTTCTCAGCTTTAAAAATTTCCACTGGGGAGTTAAAGAGATCTATGCTGGGAAAATCCCTTGTGCCATCAGATCCGCAGCTGAAGGTTCTTGCACTGAGGGGTGTCTGGAAATGTGGGCTTTTTCTTTTTATTGTTTTGATTCCTGGGAAGTTTGGATAAAAATTGAAGCAGAGTCTCCATTCTTTACAGCAGATGCTTTGGCAGAGTCCCGGGAATAGAAGAATTTTAGGATATTTGCCTTCCCCCTGGAGCACCAGTGCCTTCTGTGATGCTCTGTGGTAATTTCCAACACCTGGCCCTGCCTCTTCCTCTTGCCCTCCTGGCTTCTCAAGGAAAACAGACTTGGGAAATATTTTTCCATCTACAAATAGATCCATAAAAATAATGATGTAAAATAATGATGTACCTGCTCCCAGGTAGGTCACGGCATTGCAGGGAAGTGACTGCTGGAGGCTCATGCAGCCTTTGGGCCTGGGAAGGGCAAGGAATCCCAAGCAGAGAACTCAGCTCTGCCCACCCCTGAGGTGACCCTGGGTTGATCTCTGTCCTCCCTGTCCCACAGCGTGACCAGAGGCTGAGGGGGTTTGTCCTGTGCTGGGATTTCCAGCTGGGTTTGGGCTTCTCCAGACCATGGTTTTACTTCCATGTTCTCCCAGTCATTTCCCCACATGATGCAGAAACCCTTCAGGCAGTGGGATCAAGGCTGGTGCTCCCAGGTTCTCCCAGATTCCTTGAGCAGGGATCTGGATGCTCCTACAACAGGAAAGGGATCAGCGGGTGGGTGTGGCAATGGTCCATCCTGGGGCTGGAACTCCAAGGACAGAATTCCATGGGGTTAACTACAAATTGTGTCAGAAGTTGTGAGGAGCAGGACCAGGGCATGGCCCCTGGGCTGGGCTCTGCCCTCAAATCCTGGGGTGCCCTTGGATCCCCCTGCCAAGAGGGACCCTGAGGGGCTGGGGAGTGACCAGGGATGGGAATGGAGCTGGAAAAGGGCTGGAGCACCAGGAGAGGGTCTGGAGAACTCCTGAGGGAGCTGGGAAGGGGCTCAGCCTGGAGAAAAGCAGGCTCAGGGGGACCTTGTGGCTCTGCACAACTCCTGACAGGAGGGGACAGCCAGGGGGTGTCAGGCTCTGCTCCAGGGAACAACAGGACAAGGGAAATGGCCTCAGGCTGTGCTAGGGGAGGTTAGTTGGATTTTGGGGGAAATTTCCTCAGTGGAAGGGGTTTTCCACAGCAGGGACAGCTGCTCAGGGCAGGGGTGGGGTCCCATCCCTGGGGGGATTTCAGAGCTGTGGCACTTGGGGACATGGTCAGGGAAATGCTTGGGCTGAATGGTCTCCAAAGCATTTTCCAGCCTAAACAATTCCATGGTTCCAGGAATATGGCAGCCAAGCAGCAAGGGCAAGGAAGGGGATGTGGGTGTGTGCAAAATGCTCTGGCATTTTTACAGCTCTGCAGAAGGATCAGCCCAAAGCTGAGGCACCCCCGACCCCAAGGTGGGAGAAGGGGAAAACCTCGTCATCTTGGGGGTGGAAGGACACGGGAATGCTTCAAATCCTGGCTCTGACATCCCAAGTGTTGCCAGTTTAGGGAGGATTATGGTTGGTCCATGGAGCTCCAGGGTCCTGATCCTGCCCTCCAATTCCATCTCCCCTGGAGCAGTCTGGAATGTCTGGGTGGTTTCCTGACAGGGCAAGTTTGGGAAGTGTCACAGGTCCACAGGGAAGTGAATTTGTACTCCTGGGAAGACTGGGGCTGCTTCAGCTACCTGCTTGAGGAGTTTGGGGTCTGGGAGTGACTTTATATCTATTATTTACCATAAATAATATATATAAATATAATATAATGTCAGTGTTTTCCATAAATATGTCAGTATTTGATCCCTATTTCTGAATTCAGGCAGTAAAAGGGAATTTAAAGCACTTAATGGGGAAGAGGAGAGCCATTATCAGACATTAAACCTCAGGTTCAGGTCCTGTGAGACTTAAACATTGTCAGGGTAAATAATAAATGAAATGCTTCGATCTGGAGAAGAGACATTGAACACACTAACATTAATTTAAATAAATAACTTAATTCAGCTGTGGCTTTTTCTACAGCAGAACATGCCCAGGGTGACTTCTGGAAAAGTCTGCTGGGATTTTCCTGCACACAAACATGGATTAATTTTCCTTTAAAAAGCATCAAAAGCCCCACGTGACTTTTAAAAGTGATCATTTGCTAACAGAAATACGATTTTGATACTGGTATTGATGTAAAACATGATTTTATTGCCATTGCTGAGAACAGAGGGATTTTTTTGAGAAGCCTCTTCTGAGCCAAAATTCAAATTCACCATCAAGGAGCAAAGGGAAGCAGAATCCCTGTTTTCGGGAGGATCAAACCAGGGCTGGAAGTGCCTTGGCAAAGCCTCTGGGGCTGTTTGCAGGGATTGGCTGTGGGTGAACACACCACACCAGGTCTGGGCCAGATCAAAGCTGGGCTCCCTCCTCACCCCTCCAGCAACAGCCACTGCAGCACCTGAGGAAGAGCACGGGGAGGAAGGCAAGGATGGATCTGATGGGAGGAGGGGGTGGTGCCAGTGGAGCAGAGTGAAGAGCATCCCGTGGTGGGGGGTGTCCTGCCAGAAGAGGGGAATGGAAATTTCCATTCTGGGAACGATCCATAAATCATCCCTTATGATTTGGAATTGGGCCCCATCTCATTGAATATTCCCATAACAGCCTTTCCAAGGAAATCCTGCTGGGGCTGATATCGGTGGGGCAATGCTGGAGACCCTGCTGGGATTCACTCTGGGATTGCAGAATCTGGGGCAGAGCAAGTGAAATGGGGTTAAATCAATGGCTGAAAGAGCAAAGTTCGCCCAAAGGCCAGCCCAAATTCCTTTTCCAGGCTGAGGACCATGACCAGGTCCTGAGAGGGCAGAGGGAAGGGGTGGGAGGGGTTTGGAGGGTCTGGAGTGATGCAGCCACGAGAAAGGGATGTGAGAAGCAAGTGATGGAGATGAGAAGGAATTCCTCCCTGTGAGGGTGGGAAGGTGCTGGAATGGAATTCCCAGAGTAGCTGTGGCTGCCCCTGGATCCCTGGAAGTGCCTAAGGCCAAGTCGGATGGGATTTGGAGCAGCCTGGGATAGTGGGAGGTGTCCCTGCCCACGGCAGGGGTGGGACTGGGTGGGGTCTGAGGTCCCTTCCATCCAACCTATTCCATGATTCTGATTCTTCACACCTGGAGCACGCTGGGTGTGAAATCTTTCCTTTGTGTGTTCCAGGTGATCTGAGCGTCAAGGGGATCTGAGGGGAACAAGACCAGACGAAAGAAGGGAAAACCGGGGAGAGAGAGGAAGGACAACCAGGACAACCCTGGCCCAACAATAAGGTGGGTATAAGTTTGGGCTGTAACCTGGGTTTGCTGTTTCACAGGAGAGACAATTTGCACGTGCACCCCAGTGGGGCCTGCAGGGACTCATGGCCATGCTCCCAGTCCCATCTTCCCGGGAAATCCCCTGTGGGAGCACCTCTGTGTCCCGTGGCGGGTGGGAAATGGCACTTTGGTCCCTTTCACAGCAGAACCTGTCATGTGTGACACTCATGGCTCAGTGCTCCTGCTCCTGCTCCTGCGTGTGAGCCAAGAGCCGAGCGGGGACCCGAGACGGGAGCAGAGCGCAGCAGCAATGAGGCATCGGGTGGCAACCTCCACACCCAGGGTAATGAACACTCCTCAGGCTCCTCGGAGCTCTCTGGGAGGGAGCAGCCTCAGCCAAGCTCCGTGTCCTGCGAGGGGGACGTGGAAGAGGGCATCCTGGGGAGCTCCCTTGTTCCTGCGGGGTCGGGATTTACTGGCTGTCCCCCAGAGCAGAAACCCCCCGGGCATGGGCAGAGCTGGGGACAGGAGGTGGGTGGGACAGCACAGCATCTCCCCGGGAGAGGAGTCAACTTCAGTGCCCCAGGAGAAACGAAGGGACAGAGGAGAGGGGTGAGATGCTCCTCTGGACGAGCACTGGAGCCATGCCAGAGGTTTCCAGCTCCTCTCTCGGCCCAGGGAGAGGTTTGGCTACACCTTCTCAGACATCCCCCTGGGCAGGGTCTGGGGAGAGTGCAGCTCCACGGACTGGCGCCGCCGGGCCTCGCGCTCGGCCCAGTCCTGCTCGGGCTCGCAGCCCTTGAGGATGGCCAAGCGCTCCGAGAAGGTTTTGGCCTGCGGGAACAGGACGTAGTTGTAGAGGATGGAAGCTGCTGCAGCCCCAATCAGGGGACCTACCCAGAACACCTGGAGAGGAGAGAAAAGTGGGGTGAGCAAAACCCAGCCTGACTTTGGAAGAACTGGGATCTCCGAGGGGCATTCCAGGGTCTTGGGTTCCTTCCTGGGAACAAAACACGAACTCAGCTCTGCTTTGGCCATCGCTGGGGATCTGAGCTCCCCTCCACTGCCGGGATATTCCAAACCGTCCTCTTCTACCATTCCCCCTCTGCTCAGACTGCATTAACGACAGGCCCATTGTGAACGTGCTGAGTGATGTGGCATCATCTGGAGGAGCATTTTCCTACCCACTCATGGGTTGCTGTTGGAGGAGGAGCAGGAAGAGGAGGAGGTGGAGGCACTGCCTGGGCCAGACACCTTGGAACACATCAGGAACCACCTTCTGCCTCCAGCCAGGCTCTTTATAGATGAAACCAATGAAATCATGGAATCTCCTGAGCTGGAAAGGACCCACAAGGATCCTCAAAATCCAGCTTCTGGCCCTGCTCAGGAAAGCCACCACCAACCCCACCCTGTGCCTGAGAGCACTGCCAAAATGCTCCTGGAGCTCCGGCAGGCTCAGAGCCATGACCATTCCCTGGGGAGCCAGGGGTTGTTCCCAAAGGCGTACCTAGATCCAGGAACCAGGAAAGTTCCCCAGGACTGGCAGCAGCTCCACTCTCCATTGCTTTTGTTCCCTGTGCTAAGTCACGTCAACAGACCTTACACCCTGATCCTGTTGCAATGCTCCCAGTTTGGAAAAGCCAATTAAACACCCAGCAGCCCCACCTCTTTCTCCTAATCTCTCCTTCTCTCCTCCAGCTGGGAGCTGGCATGGAAATGCCTGGAATTTGTCTGGCTTGCTGAGTTTCAAGGAATATTGGCAGTTTGGGGGACTCATCCAACACAACTCCCAGAGCCGAATTCTCACCCAGTGGTCGCTGAAGTCTCCAACGACGACTGCAGGGGCGAAGGACCTGGCGGGATTCATGGAGCAGCCGGTGTAGCGGATCTGCCGGGAACACCATGGCTGCTGTCAGCTTAAGCCCTTTTGCCTCATTTGTAAAAAATTTGGGGTGTCATTAGGGTGACAGCTGAGCTGCTGCTTCACCCTTCAGCATTCCTGTTCCGGGAAAAGGGATCCCAGGAGCTGCCACCACCTGAGTCAGCACTGTGAGGTGTTGCTGTGCTGCAGCCCCAGGAGCTGTGGGGATGAGCTCCCAGTCCTGCAGAAAATTCCCTCTCGTGCCTCTGAGGACAGGAGAGGAAGGGTCCCATGGATGCAGGGGCTCGTGGAGCGCTGAGGATGGAAGGTGTGGTGAGACCAGCAGCGCTTTCCCGCGTGCACTGGGAGTGGGGCTGCTTTGGGCTGTCACGCAGGTGGGATTCCCCCGAGCATCCATCCCAAACACTTCCCAGGCTTATCCTGCACTTGAGAGCCCCAGTGGCCAACTTGTTCGCTCCAGGAGAGATCCCACAGATCCCTGGAACTCCCCATGGGACTCAAGGAGAGGCAGGGTCCAGAAAATCAAGTTTTTCATGCCAAATAAAGGCTGAGCTCAGGCCATAGCTCCCCCATGGCTTTGGTGGGATTTTTCCCTCTCTCTACTGGAAAACCACGGGTTTCATATTCCCTGCCAAGCCTGGAGATGCAGCCAAACCAACTTGGGGCATAAACCAAAAAAGAACCCCAAAAATGCCAAGTTTTGGCCTATCCACTCACCCCGAGGAGGTGCCCCACAGCCACAGAGAGGCCAATGGAGAGGGCAGGGGAGCCCAGGTTGTCCTCACGCCGCTCGTCTGTGGAAGCAAAGATGCACAGGACCAGCTGGAAGGTGAGGAACAGCTCCACCGTCACCGCCTGCCCCGTCGTGGTCTCATTGTGCAGCTGGAATGGGAGGAAAAACATGTTCCAAGGCTGAGTTCTGTGAGTGGATGGGAAATATGGAGGAGGAATCCAAAATCAGGGGGAGCCAAAGGAGACGGGAGATTTTTGGCACCAATAAGAAAATACTTCCCAGGTAGAAGTGGCTCAATGGGAAATGCTTGATTGACCTCTCAGGATATTTTATTGGTAATTTTTTTGTATTTTTCTTTTTTTTTTTCTTTTCCTCCTACTCGAAATGCCTTTTGGAAAAGTTTACAAGTTGCATTTTGAAGACATTGAAAATAAATATTTTTGCATGAGAAAAAAAAAAAATTCCCTTTGCACACTTTTTTGACTCAGAGAATTTGTCAGGTCTGATCTGGGGCTGATCCTAGTGGCACCCCCTCTCCTCCAACTCAGTCCCTTCTTTCCCCGTGTCCCCCAAATCTAATCCCATTGCTTGGCGGTCCCAGGAAGGTCCTGCCCCAGCTCCAGAGTCAGATCTTCCTCATTCTCCTGCCCAGTATTCCCCTCCCTTTTTACAGGGGTAATCTGTGCAGGCAGCCACACGATGAACAGCTCACAGGGGATAAAAGCCTGCTCAAAATCCCCGGTTCCCACTTTTGGGTGGTTTAAGCTGTAAACCAACAAAGCTGAGCAGTCTGAGTCTCCCTTAAACCTCCCGCTTTTATTACCCTCAGTCATTACCAGTCTAAATCGCTTCATTCAGAGTAAACCACAAATCCCTCTTTTTAACCCTCTTAATCACTCTGGCAGCGCAGCTGAGTCCTGGCAGTGCCTCCCTGCTGTGGGAAAGGTGATTTCCATGTGCTGCTTCCCAACCCAGCTCCCTTGGGGTTGGGTGATGCTGATCCTGGCAGGTGCCTGTGCCCCGCTGGGGTGGGACAGTGAATCCCTGGGTTTCAATTCCTTTTCCCCCTCCTGTGGGGAAGGGGGTGTTGGAGGCCAGGATACCATTGGAGAATCCCCCATGGCTTCCTAAGCTTCCCTGGCTTTATTTTTTTCCTTGTCTGAAACCAGCCTGAGGTCCTTGTGAAGCTCTGGGGAATCCATGTATTGGGTTTTGGGATGAACCAGCTGGATTTGGTGCGATCATTCCTCCACGGTGGGAGGCAACAAGCTGAATCTAATGAAAATCTGGGATGTAGACCCAAATCCCTCCTCTGCCCACCACTTCAGCAACCTGGGAACTGTGGCTTGGCCAAAACAGAGCCAGGGAAAGGCTGCATGTACCCCCACCAGAGGGGAAATTGCACGAGCCTGGGACAGAGGAATGCAGAGGTGGTGTTTTGGATGTCTCCTTCCTTAAACCCCTGGGAGCCCCAGAATCCAAGTCCCCTGAGTACAGTCCTGGGGAAAAATGAGAAATGAGATGGTTGTGACTCCAAGGGGTGTGTCTGTGACCAGATGGATCCTTCCTCTGGCTTTAGCCCCAAACACAGGAGATGTTTTTGGCACCAATATGAAAAGAGCAAAAATTTCCCAGGTGGAAGAAGTGGCTCAGTGGGAAATAGCTGATGGACCTCAGGAAATTTTAGCCCTAAAACTAGAGGAGGAAGATGAGTCCTGCCTTCATCCCTGCTCCTGGCAGCACTGTTGGAGCAGCAGGGTCCAGCAGGTACTGAGCTGTGGCATTCAGAGGCTTCCTCACCTGGAATTCTGGGAATTTTTCAGGAATTTTGGGAATTCTGGGATCCCTGGCAGGAGATTTTGGGGAGCTGAGGGGGTTTTTAGGGATTTTTTGGGTGGATTTGGAATGAAATTCCCACAGAATACCCCCGATTTTGGGCCTCTCCCGGTTGTCTGAGGAAAATTCCCAGTGGGAATTTTAGGGAATTCCGGGATCCCCAGCTGGAGGTTTCGGGGCAGCTGAGGGGGTTTCTGGGGCTGGCCACAAGCCCCTTCCTCCCACCCCTCGGGTTCCCAAAGACCCTGCCCGTGTCCCCCCGCCTGCCAAGCCCACCCGGCGCCGCAGGCTGACCTTGTTGAGGGCCAGCCCCTCGCGGGCGTCGGGCGGCGTGACCTCGTGCAGGATGGCAGCGCCCACCACGCCGCCCAGCAGCTGCGCCGCCACGTAGAAGAGGGCGCGGAGCAGGGAGAGCTGCGAGCCCAGCAGGCAGCCCAGGGTCACGGCGGGGTTGATGTGGGCGCCGCTGACGTGGCCCAGGGCCTGCACCAGCGTCCCGATGGCCAAGCCGAAGGCCAGCGCGATCTGCAGGGTGCTCGGGGCCGGCGCCGAGGGCCAGTTCAGGGCAGAGCCGAGGCCGAAGAGGACGAAGACCAAAGTGGCCAGGAATTCCGCAAGGACGGCCCTGGTGAAGGCGATGGAGCGCAGTTCCCACATCATGGAGGCTCCTGGGAACGATCCTGCCCACAGCGTCCTCAGTGCCCACCTCCTGCTGTGTCCCTGAGGGTCACCCGGGACAACATTTATATACCTGGAGGCGGGAGGGCCACAGGATCAGCTGCTGAAGGGGATGGGATCATGGTCCTGGGAAATATGATGCTTTTTTCCTTCTGTGTTCCAGCTGAGGGCACATCAGATCCTGCCCCGTCTATGAGAGCCGGGGAATGCGGCGCTCGCCGCCCTGGGGAGGTCGCAGATCAGCCTCCAGCAGTGCTGGCAAGGACTGCTCCTTTTCTCCTGGGCTTCCTTACCTGGGATCGATCCCCAGAGCTGCTCTTGCAGCTGGGAACATGCAAAGGGCAGGAAGCAATGGGGGATCTGCAGAGCTGGAGCTGAGCTCAGGTTGTGCTGAAAATCAGTCAGTGGGCTGTGATTTAACAACCAGAAAAATCCAGGAACGTGGAGGGATTCCTGGGGGTGTCCTGTGCGGGGACAGGAGTTGGATTCAATGATCCTTGAGGGTGCCTTCCAACCAAGGATGTTCCATGATTCCATGAAAAGTGAGTGCAAGGGAGGCACAAAAGGGGTTCACTACAGCTCAGCTGCTCATAGCACCAGAATTTTACAGCCTGGGCACAGATTTCCTACCCAGAAAATTGGGAATCAATCCCAAAGCAGACTGTCAGAAATTCCCATGTGAAAATGTGACCCCAGGACTGGAGCACCAACTGTGCCCCAATTATGGCCATTTTGGCCAACTCTGCTCTTCATAAACATCCTTTTAGTTCTCGGTGTCAATCCCAGAGTGAGAATTTCTTTTCTGGGGTTTGATTCTTCCCATCTGCTCCTTGCCCAAGAAGTTTCTTTTCCCTTTTCTCCATTTCCCATTCCTGAAGGATATCTGCAAAACCTTTTCCTCGCCTTGTCATTGGGGTTGGTGGCTTTACTGGAAATTGAGGAGCTGGTTTTTCCTCTCCAGGGCCAGCTCTGAGGTGTGATCACTCCTCCAGCTGTAGCTGGAAGGACCGTTTTATCCCAGAGGGATACAGAGCCCCAGGACCAAGTGTCCACGTTTGGGCTCTAACAAAGGCTCTTGCTCTACAATAAACTGAGTATTTTTCCCTTCCAGAGGAGTTGTGCAAGTGCCATGGGGCTAATGGCAAATGTTCCACATTGGTGGGATTATATCATGGAATGATGGGGTATCCCAGGAGCTCCCAGGTGGAGCAGAGGATGGACATATGTCCCTTCCAATGGAACCGTTGTTCTCGTCTTCCTCCTTCTCCCTTCTTGTCTCCCTTCCTTCCTCCTCCACTTTCCCCTTCTCATTTTCTTTCTCCTCCTCTCTTTTTTTCCCTTTCCCCTTCTTTTCTCCCTTCCTCCTTCCCCTCTCCCTCTCCCTCTCCCTCTCCCTCTCCCTCTCCCTCTCCCTCTTTTTTTCTCTAAACAATGGTTTTAGGGAACATGGCTCTTAACAAGTGAGGGACTGTGGGAAAAACAAGTCCAGCCCATGGCTGAGTCTGAACAAGGTGGGACTGTGGTCTAATAAAACCTTTTCCTCTGAAAATCCTCCCCTTGGACTGTGTCCCGCCCCAGCATCTCTCCAGACAGAGCTTTTCCAGCAGTGGAGTCAGTCTCGTAAAACAGGCTTGGAGGCTAAAGGGATTTGGGTGCTGCTGAGCACCACGATCACGGTCCTGGCCAGGCTCGTGCTCCACATGCCTGGCACAGGGCTCAGCCCTTCTCAGGGCAGGAGTTACTCAGGGCTGCAATTACTGCAGGGAGGATGGAGATCAAATCTGGGTAATTACTGGAGCTCATACCCTGCCTGATTAGTGGTTACTCGTGAGGAGCGTGGGGATATCTCAGTGCTCAGGACTAATTAAAAAGAAGAAGTCAGCAGGATTAGTTCTGAGCAACTTAGAAGTCCAACCCCATGGTCCTGACTTTTGTCTGGAAATGCAAAACTCATGGCAGCTTGTTTGTACTGAGCTTGGAGATGCTGGTGCTGAAACTGGAGATGTTTGTTTTGAGCTTGGAGCTGTCTGTGCCATGGGGGAGGGTTCCTGTGGTGCTGGACTGTGGGGAAAGGGTCAGAGCTGCATTTCGAGACTGGCTGTCATGGTGTCAATGGCATTTGCTGGGAGATGGTGTTTTCCAGCAAGAACAGCCCATCCCAGCTTTCCCCAGAGACCCCCAGCACTGTAATTCCACTGGTTTTACAGAGGAATCCATCCACTGCACAAAAGCAGATCCTGCTGACTCCAGACACTGAGCCAGTGGCAGAGCCAAGGTTTCCTGGCTGTGCCACAGTTGGGCACTACCCCAGAAAAATGGGAGATGCCACAAGCTGGAGGGTTGGGAATGGGCTGTTGAATCTGTTCTGTCTAGGAGGGGGTCCTGGAGCTACTGGAGATGATGGAAATGTGGCTTTCCACCTTACCCCAGGTGTGCTGCTGCTTTGGGAGCAGCCAGGAGCATTCCAGCCCTGGAGGGAGTCCAACGAGTTTGGGAAAGTGCATTATTTTACCTGTTAGCCCCAGCCCCTGGAGTGTGACGGTGTTATCAGCCCTCCCTGGGACCAAGTGCAAATTTAATGATCTTGGAGGAGCAGGTTGGCATCTGCAGAAGGTTGGAACCCATGTGGGTGCCTCATGCTGGTGCCCTGTGTTGGAGCCCCACGTTGATGTCTTATGTTCGGAGCCGCATGTTTGCAACACCATGTGGATGCCCTGTGCTGGTGCCTCATGTTTAAACCCTGTGTTGGTCCCTCATCTTCATGTCCTGTGTTGGAACCCCATGTTTGGAACCCTGCATTTGTGTCCCATGTTGGTGCCCCATGTTGGTGCCATGTTTGGAACCCCATGTTTGGAACCCTGTATTTGTGCCCTGTGTTGGTGCCCATGTTTGGAACCCTGTGTTGGTGCTCATGTGGGTGCTTCAGGTTTGAGCCCTGTGTTGGAGCCCCATGTTTGGAACCCCATGTTAGTGCCCGTGTTCCAGCCCATGGATTCCTTGTGTTCATGTTCCACATTGGAACTCCATGCTGGAACATCATGTTTGGAACCCCTTGATGGTGCCCTGTGTGGATCCCTGAGCTGGTGCCTCATGGTGGTGCTTGTGTTGGTGCTTCATGTTGGAACCCTGTGTTTGGAACCCCGTGCTGGTGTCCAGTGTTTGGAGCCCTGTGTGGGTGCCCATATTTGGAACTCTGTCTTTGTAATGGTCTGTTGGTACCCTCTGTTTGAACCCCATGTTGGTGCCTCATGTTTGGAGCCTCATTTTGGTGTCTCATGTTGGAACCCTGTGTTGGAACCCCATGTGGGTTCGCTGTGTTTGGAAGCCCATGACTGGAACTCTGTGTTGGCGTACCATGCTGCATCGCCGTGTTTGGAACCCCATGCTGGTGCCTCCGGCTGGTGCCCCATGCTGGTGCCCAGTGTTTGGAGCCCCATGTTGGTGGCTCATGTTTGGAACCCCGTGTTTGGAGCCCTGCGTTGGTTCCCTGTATTTGAGCCCCATGTTGGTGTCTGTGTTTAGAACCCACTGTTTGGAGCCCGATGTTGATGGCCTGTGTTTGGAACCCCATGTTTGGAGCCCTTTGTGGGTTCCTTGTGTTTGGAATCTGGTGATGTCCATGTTTGAATCCTGTGCTGGTGTCTGTGTTTGGAACCCCGTGTTTGAGCCCTTTGTGGGTTGCCTGTGTTTGGAATCTGGTGTTGGTGTCTGTGTTTGAGCCCCGTGTTGGTGTCCGTGTTTGGAATCCTGTGTTTAAGCCCTGTGTTTGGAGCCCTGTGTACTGAACCCTGTGTTTGAGCCCTGTGTTTGAGCCCCATGTTTGGAACCCCTTGTTGATGCCCTGTGTTGGTGTTTGGATCCCCATGTTGGTGTCCATGTTTGAGCCCTGTGTTTGAGCCCCATGTTTGGAACCCCTTGTTGATGCCCTGTGTTGGTGTTTGGATCCCCATGTTGGTGTCCATGTTTGAGCTCCAAGTTTGGAGCCCTGTGTTTGGAACCCCGTCTTTGAGCCCCGTGTTGGTGTCCTTGTTTGGAGCCCTGTGTTTGGAACCCCGTGTTTGAGTCCCATGTTGGTGTCCATGTTTGAGCCCCATGTTTGGAGCCCTGTGTTTGGAACCCTGTGTTTGGGACCCCGTGTTTGAGTCCCATGTTGGTGTCCATGTTTGAGGCCCATGTTTGGAGCC